CATTAAAAATAGTTTAAGCCTGTCCAGTATGGCTCAGTTGGTTGAGCATTGTTCCATACAACAGGAGGTCACTGGTTTGATTCCTGGTCAGGGCATATGTCCAGGTTATGGGTTCAATCCCCAATAGGGAAGTGTGCAGGAGGCAGCCAATTGATGTTTCTCTCTCATTGATGTTTCTGTCTCCGTCTCCTTCTTCTCTCTGAAATCAATACAAACTATTTAAAAATAGTTTAAAAACATCTAGCAATAAATTTGATAATTTATATGTAATAATGCTAAAGAGAAAATAAAACATTGAGAAATCTTAAAAAGTGTTAAATAAATAGTGGGGAATACCATTTTTATGAATCAGAAGACTGCAAATTTTAAGAACATGAATCCTACTCTAAATTGACTTATTGATGTAATGTAGTCCTTATTAAATTATAAATACTCAGATTGTGATTGTGGGTATATACATTAAAAATTTTAACCTATATTTAAATAAAAATTAAAAGAGTTCTAAATCCTAAGAAAACCTTGAAGAACAATCAGTATTAAGATTAATTACAGTCACTTTAAACTGATAATCTCATGATTCCTGATATGATGTCAGTTTTCTTTATAGAAAAAATAAAATTATTTATTTTTTTACATTACTGTCACTCATAATTCACAAATAATTTATTAAAATCAATTCAATTAGAGATTGTATAATTAGTAGAAATCTCAAGACTACTCATTCACTGCAGTTTCACTTTTTCCTTTCTTCTTTCTTTTTCTTTTCTTTCTTTTTTTAACAGGAAAACATATCTGGCTACAAGGCCCTCATGTTTAATTTGCTTTCCAGCTGAATATTACCTGTATAATTTTAGAAAAATGGAAAACTAATTCTATTTGCTATTACAGTAATGCTTTTAAACTTAAAAGCATTAAATTTTTAAGCATTAAACTTAAATTTTTCTTTAAATATTTTAAGATTAATTCATATCATTAAGCTATAGAAATGACCATGCTTGAAAATGAAGGGTATCTCAAAATTGTCAATAGGGATTTTCAATGAGAAACTCACTTGTGTTCTGTGACTGCCATATGCCTTCAGCGTTGCCGCTTTACAGCCAGTTTTAGCCACAGTATATGTCCTGGTGCTTCTCTTGCCTGAGGCTACAGACTTCCATCCGCCCTGACACAGAGCTCACACTCTGACCATGAAGGCCAGGGTGAAATGTAGAAAAGGAAGAGAGCCTGAATATCCTAGACCACCCCTGCCTTTTTTTTTCTTTTCTTTTTAATGAACAGGAAACTGGAGACTCACTCCCCAATATGCTTAGAACTCAATTTTGTCAAAAACAAGAACTGACATTGACAGAGATCACTATTAGCAATTGTTTGGAAAATGCTCATACTTCTGTGAGTCCTCTCCTGACCTAAAAAAAGAAAGTTTATTTCATTTTTTTTGGGGGGGGGGGACGATTTTGTATATCCCCAGGCTGAGAGGTAAATTTATAAAATTCTGAGTACAGAAAAACCAATTTAGAGTTATGAAATTCTGAATACAAAAAAACTCAATTTAGAGTCATTAATGTGACAACAAGCATGAGTGTTAGTAGGTAATTTTGCATTTATGTGACTATTTTTAAATATCAGGGAGAGCATTTGGAAGGAGGGAAGGTTGTACTCCATTTTTTGTTTGTTTTGGTTTATTTTTTCTAAATATATATTATATATTATAAAATATAATCACTATATAAATATATATAATATTTAAATATAATCAACATTACCGGATATGAATTATAAAAGATTGCATTACACATATAAAGTATGTTACCTACCATAGGTACATCTAAGTCAAGGATTTAGATTTTATAAATGAATGCACTGAATTTTTAAAATTCTCTTCAGGAATTTTGTAAAATATAAAAAAAAATGATATCTATTGTTAAATGCAGGATATTATCTTTAAATGTGTACCTAAATATAGGATACCCTAGTGTGTTCTTATTTTACCCTGAAATTGAGTATCTGAGAACTGTTTTGATATTTGAGTTTCACTTGAAGTTTCATAAGCCTTCAGAAATCCATTTATTATTGCTTAGTGTACTACTGTTAGCTGTTTTCTCAGTTCTTCTGCTTTTTTGCAAAGTGATAAATGAAGTCTGCTTTGTAGACAAGGAGCTGGAAAGAATTCTATAGAGCTGAATAAAAATTAATTGAGGACTAAAATATGACTTCAGAAAAAGCTATTTAAGTGACAAAAGCCGGCTGGATTCTAGTGAAAGAATATAATAAAAGAATGTTCACTGTTCGATGCAATTAAAGCACATTACACATTCTTTCTTTTAATGTTATTTTGACTATGAAAATTTTCTAACAAACAAAAAGTAAACAATGCTACATACTCCCTTACACTCATTACCCAGCTTCGACACCATCACCAACCTGTCTTGTTTCATCCATTTACCTTCCCTGTCCTTTCCTTTTTCCTGAAGTATTTTTTTTTTATCCTCATCTGAGGACATTTTTTTTGCATTTATCTTCAGAGCAGAAGGGAGAGAGAGGGGAAACAGAGAGAGAAAGATCGATGTGAGAGAGACACACCTACTGGTTGCCACCCACACGACCCCAACCGGGGCCGGGGACAAAATGCATCCGAGGTATGTGCCCTTAGCAGGAACCGAACCTGTGTCTCTGGTCTGCGGGCCGACGCTCTAACCACTGAGAAAACCAGCCAGGGTGTCCTGAAGTGTGTTTTTTTTTTTTTTTTTTTTTAATTTTCAAGATGTAATTTTAGCTGGAAATATTTCTGATTTTATCCCAGAAACAATTTTTAAAAATCAAAACTTTATATTTTAACGTATTCACAATGCCATTATACAATTAATAGAAACTTCAATAATGCCTTCTTAAAATCTGATGCCCAGAATTAAAATTTCCAGAATGTCTCAAACATCTTTTAATAATTGGTGTGTTTGAACTGAGATCCAAATAAGGTCCAGTCATTTTGTTATATTTTTAAGTCACATTTAATTTATAACAGTTACTTCTTATTTATTATTACTGTGTTTTTTTATTGAAAAAAAATCCGTCAGTTATCCTGTATACATTCTAATTTATAGATTGTACTATTTGACTCCTCGTGGTGTCTTTTCTTCTCTGTTTACTTTTTTTTTTCATCTTCATTAAAAATATTTGTAAATTTCAAAATGTTTATGGTACAAATTTAAATATTGTAAAAAGGATTTTGATGGCATTACTGTGTCTGCGCATGTCTATATGTGCCTATGTTTCTTTGTGATAGTTGCATTTATTAATTGCTGCTTATAAAATTGCATTTTTAAAAAATATGTTTTTATTGGTTTTTTAGATATAAAGGAAGGGAGAGAGAGATAAACATCAGTCGGCTGCCTACTGCACATCCCCCACTGGGGATTGAGCCTGCAACCCGGGCATGTGCCCTGACTAGGAATCAAACTGGGACCTCTCAGTCCATAGTATAATGCTTAATCCATTGAGCCACACCGGCTGGGCTAAAATTGCATTCTTATTTGCTAGACAGGCTGTGTTTTAAGGTGGTCTGGGTTTTGCAGGCATTCAGTCAATCTCTCATTTCATATACATCATCTAGGCTGTCCCAACTCCTTCGACCATGGAGTGCAATTACATGTAACATCTTAAGTAAAATGAATGTTATCTATAAAATATGAATTCCAGATTCTTATAGTCCTTTCAACCCTTTCTTTTGCACAAACTTCTTTATTTCCAATAAACTATAGGTGAGGGTTTTTGGTTTTTTTTGTTTTTTTTTTGGCTTATTTGTATTTGTTTTTTTCTTTGTTTTAAGACTTTGTGGGTTGAAAGTTTCAACTGGTGAAAAACAAGATTGGAGTAGAAAAACAAAGTAAGACTATATTTGCTGTGCTTATTTAAAAATGGAAATTTCATTGTCTTCTTTTTGTTTTGTTTACTTCATTTTATTGTTGACACTATTACAGATGTACACATCCCCCATATTTGCCCACCTTCACCCAGCCCCAGTCCCCTCTTCTTTTGTGTTCACTCTGCTGGGATTTTACTTCTTACTAGTTTTCCTGTTTCTGTATCTGAATCTGTAGTTGCAGATTAAAGGCAAAGGGGTGGTTTAATACTTCATTCTTCACTGATGTAAACCTCATTCACCAAGGTATTCTTCAGATTTCTGTTCCTGAAACTGTAAAATATCTCTATAATGGATGGTAGTCAAACTTTCTGAAAGTAAATTAATGTTGATTTAAATTCAGCAATAATAACGTGGCTCCCCATCTTTATTCTTTTGATTCACCAATGTCTTTCTTATGGAAAATCCTGAGTCATGTCACTAAAACATAGTTCTGTTCACGCTGTAATTACGTTCCCAAGTTTCGCAGGCTGCCTATTTTCCTACTGAGTAAATGCAAAACACCTTCTTACTCTGGGGCTCGAACATCCGGAAGTTGATCAAACACCACCTTTTTAGGCACTGTGCTCATTTGTACATCCTTAAACGCAGCCGCACTTCACACCTGCTTCCCTTAAAGCTGGTTATGCATTTTTATTAAACTTCAGTACTTTTACACAAAGTTCTCATGTCTAGCAAATTTAGGATAGACTTTCAGACCTGGTTTAATGGTACTGACTTTCACTGTGAAGTATTGTGTAAATCTCCCAGATTCTTAACCATTAACTTCTGTTTCATTGCCTTAGCATTTTGCTTATACTGGGATAAGTAGATATTTACATGTCTGACTTCCTCATGGAAAGAAATTTTGATATTCATTTTTTTAAATGACTCTGCATCCATATATGTAAAAGTCTTGGTATATTTAAAATACCTTAAAGTTTAGAGAGCCAGAGATTGTGAATATTAGCTCTTGAACTGGTCAAATAATTGAGCTGTTAGGAAAAAACAGTTTTGTTTTTCACGGCATGCTTTTGAAAGAGTATCATCCATATAGTAAAAGTTGAATGTAACTAGAATATGTCCTATTATCCTTATATTTTAGATATGATCCCAAAACAGACACATGGACCATGGTGGCTCCTTTGAGTATGCCCAGAGATGCTGTTGGAGTTTGTCTTCTTGGTGACAGATTATATGCTGTTGGTGGCTATGATGGGCAGACATACCTCAACACCATGGAATCCTATGATCCACAAACTAATGAATGGACACAGGTAAGACTGTTGCTAGCATAATTTACTTCAAATATAAGAATTTATTTGGTTAACCTTTTATTTGGAGGAGAGGGGTACAGATAGTTATCTACCTAGTCAATTACTCTTAATTCAAGCTGATTGGTTTAGTTAATTGTGTTCATTTTGTAAAAAGTTCATTAAAGTAGATGTTTTTATGTACTTCTCTCTCTCTCTCTCTCTTTTTTTAATTCTCACCCAAGAATATTTTTTCATTGCTTTTTAAAAATACAGTGGAAGGGAGAGAGAGAGAGAAACATTGATATGAGAAAGACACATCAATTGGTTGCCTCCCACAAAACCTTCACCAGGGCCGGGGACCAAACCACAACTGAGATACATGCCCTTGACCAGGAATCAAACCTGAAACTCTTCGGTCCTCTGGCCAGTGCTCCAACTGCTAAGCCAAACAGGCCAGGGCTGTGTACTTTTCTCATATGCATTTTACATTTTAATAAAATTTAATTTTAAAGTGACATTCACATTTCAGTGGGATTTCCACTTTGTTATAAGTAATAAATAAGAACTGATTTTTAATTAGCTAAAACAAAAAATAAAAGTAGAATATATGGATGAACAAAACCGTAACTTTAGAATACTTGATTGTAGAGAGAGCTAGAATAAGGGATGGGCGGCTGCAGAAATCAACTTTCTGCCTCCCGTGTTTGCTTCACTACATTAGATCCGTTGTTACCTGCTGCTGAGAAATCTTCCATGGGGTGGAACCTCTAAGTAGCAATACTCACAGCCATAAAGAGAAAATAAAAGACCTATTTGTCTAATAAGAAGCAAACAGCAAAGGGCTCTGAATGGTCTGTCATGTATGAAGCTCTCACCCCTGGACGATCACTTTGGCATAGATGATGGAGTGGAATGATTGGCTGATCTTAGGTGAGGCGTTATCCCTTGAATATATGCTGTAGTTAGAGACTTGGGATCATACTAGAACAGCTTTCATTTCAGTCATATAGCTAAAGAATTCATGTTGGTGTGTATGAGTGTTGGTGGAAAGTGAGGACAGAGCAACTAAATAATAGTGGAAAATTCCTTACATTATGTAGTTACTATGACACAGTTTATAATGGAGAGGATGGATCTAATATTTTCAGACTTGTGTCCTCATAGTCAATGTCTCTTTTCTTCCCCTTCTTTATTTTCCAAATCTCTAAAGATCTCTATGATTTTTCTGCATTATCAGAAACCTTACAGCAAAAGACTGTATAGACAAACAAACAAAACCTTTTCATAAATGGCTGCAGTGAAATTCCAAAGCCTTATTTAGTTGAAGCAAAATAATAATCTGTATTCTCTCTTTATGCCTCAGTAAATGAAAGGTCTTATAGTTGGTCACAGAAATTGACTAAAATTTATCTGAAAAACTTGAACACTGATTGAAGTAAATTTCTTTTAAAAAATAATGCATTTTTAAAGATACATAACTGCCTTGAGTGTCCCAGTTGAGGAATCCGTTCAAATACAATATTTATACAGTGATACCTCGGTTCTCGAACGCCTTGACTTTTGACCAAATCGGTATTCGACCAGGAGATTCGAGAAACTTTTGTCTTGGAATCCGAACAAATATTTGGAACTCGAACTTCCGAGATGAGCCGAGTTGAGCCGAATGGCGTTCATTCGGCCCAGCGCGCCTTGCTGGCGTCATCAGCGTGAGTGCAGAGAGAGAGTCACGCTTTGTGGAGAGAGTCACGCTTTACACTGAATTGAACCCTTAGACATACTGTACACTTTTATTTCTTGTTGAGACTTATGTTTTTCTACATATTATATACAAATTAGGCCAGTAAATAGGCATTTTCTGGGGCTTGGAACGAATTAATCCAGTTTCCATTATTTCCTATTGGGTTTCATTGCTTCGGTTCTCGAACAATTTGGTTCTCGACCGTCCTCCTGGAACGAATTATGTTCGAGAACCGAGGTATCACTGTATAGGCCACATTCAAGAACCAAATTCCTGACAGACAGGCATTATGTGTCTTACTCTTCCCTATGGGAAACTCTTTGATTTCGATGAAAATAGATGAAATTCATTAAGGAAGAAGGAAACAGGTAGATGGAAGGAAAGAAGGGGATGCATTCGAAGAACTAGGTTCTGTAATTTTTCCATGTTTTATTTTAATTGTGAGAGAAAAATCATTCCTTCTTCAAAGAACAGAAAATATAAAAGAAGCTAGCAATGATTGCACTAAATATTAGAGGATATATTGTAAATTCTTACTTGTCAGAGTCTTCAGTGTTTACAAAGGGAACACTGCAGGAATTAATGGTTATTGATTTCATAAGGAAATGTACCAGTTCAATGGTATGTATTTTAAACATGCCACTTTTACAAGTAAACATTAAATAAAGAAAGTTAATGGGCATATAAATGACATGGTATAATATATTTATTATGTATTTACAATAACAAGCCATTATGCTTATCATTCCTTTAAAATTGAAATCAAAATAATACACATAGTAACAACAGGCAAAAGTTTCTTAAAGAGTGCTTTCCTTCATTGGTATTTTATAACACTGTTTTGGATCTTGTGGTGTCTTACAAATAACAAGGTAGTATTTAAAATGTTTTATAATAACTTTATTTTAGTATAGTAAGCATTAATTTTAAAGCTCTCAAATTACTTTGAAATTTTGCATCCATATGTTTTCATTATTTATATTTTAATACTCTCGAGGGACCATCAGCAGACCCAAATGACTTTCCTTTTAAAAATTTGCAAGATTTCAGGCCACTAGAAAAAAAATTGCTTTATTTGCTGAATAATTCCTATCACTTTCTCTTCATTTAGCCCATAAATGGAGAAAATAAATGTTTATCTTATTTATCATTGGTACCCCCAATAGATAGGCATTACAATAAATAAGCAAACTATATTTTAAAAATCCAAAAATGTTATTTTTAAAAATTATTCAAGTTAGCTTTTGGAAATAATGGAAACAGATTGGGAACTATTGCCAGATTCATGTCCAAGATAGTTTTACAGAGAATACGTGCATGGATGTATGTGTGTTTTAAATAAATTTGACTTTGTCATTTAACATTGCATTTGTTTCTTGTATTTGACTTGAAAAACAATATGTGTGTTTCAAGACAATTTTTTAAATGGGATTTATTCCATTTCCACTAGCCTGGATAAAATCACCCTTTCATGTTTTCTCTAGTTATGTGGTCATAGAGCTGTCATGCGGTATCCACCTGCAACTGTACCAAAACAAAGATAGTGTAGCATTTACTTACAAGTCTCCAAAGACTAGTGAGTAGCTGGCATGGGGTAAGAGATATATCAATGCTCCTTAGATAAATTAAGAATTGTTGTTGCAAATCAGTGTTTTTGGTTGTGCATGGGTTAATTTATTTGCCCACAATAGATATATAATATATTGTGAATATTGAGAATCAGGTGAGATATCTACAGCTCGGCAACTTTTTTCTAATTGGTTTTGTGGCCAACTTTTTCAGGTTATCATATAAAGCTGAAAGGTATATCTCTAGAGAGACAGTAGGGCAGATTTCAAATATATATAGGATGAAGTTGGACCAAGGGGGAAAGCTCTATTGAATAATTAAAATGTATTTATGTAGCCTGGCCAGTGTGGCTCAGTGGTTAAGCATTGACCCATGCACCAACAGGTAGCTGGTTCAATTTCCAGTCAGGGCATATGCCCAAGTTGTGGGCCTGATCCCCAGTGGGGGGGCATGCAGGAGGTGGCCAATCGATCTTTTCTCTCATCAATGTTTCTATCTCCTTCTCCCTTCTTCTCTCTCTAAAATCAATAAAAATATATTTTAAAAAATGTATTAATGTAGAATATATCAAATGCTAAAAATAACATGATAAATTTTGTGGTAAGGGAAATACTTAGCACTATGATAGAACCTAAGTGTGTATGGTATAGAAATTTTCCTTCAGAAAATGATATGTAGAATGAGAGCCGACAGCTGAGTAATAGTTAACCAAATGAAAATATGGGGAGTGGTTTAAGGAACAGAATTTGTAAAGAGCCACAGGAAGGAGAACACATGGCATGTTTCATGGGGCCAGATATGAAATGGTGAGCAATGAGTTTGGGGAGGTAGACACGGTCTGTAAGATCTAGGGTCAGAAACTATGTCATAGAATTTTCACTTTACAATAATACTGAAGGTGAGTTAATAAAAAGTTTTAAACAGAAAAAGTAAATAATCAAAATTGTGTTTTTAAATAATTTCATTTGACATGATGTAAAAAAAAAAAAATGGTTAGGCAAAAACAAGATTAGAGGCAGAGAAATATGTTAGGAAAATATTTTACTAATCCACTTTAGGGTAGAAAAATGTCCCTTTCTTCCCTCCTGGGTTCTTTGGCTTGCCTAATAATTAAATGGACATGAAACATACCAACAAGAGGAAAACAAATGTAATTCTGTATTTACAGAGAGCCCATAAAAATATGAGAATCAAAGAAGTGACCAAAGCAGGAAGCTTTTACACTGTTTAGACACAGAAACAATAAGTTTTTGAAGAATTGACAAGACAAAGAGATTTGGGCTTGGGTAGTACATTAGTGAAGAGGTAACAAGGTTTGTTTATACAGATTTTTGGGGCCTAAATTCCCTGTCACTAAGGATAAGGATGTCTTCTACCCTCCTGGTATGAGGTGAATAGATTTATCACAGGATTTCAGGGTGACAGAGAGGGTAAGAGTAACTTCCTGCACCATTCATCTCTCAAGTACCTTTAATTTAAATTGAACAATAGTAAAAGTGAAATATCTTGGGGTGGTGTATTCTTCTCCTTTTTATACTCAGGGTAAAATTGTAACCGGAATTAGGTTGAAGACAGTAGGAATGGTGCGCTTAAGTTGGTTGGAGATGAGTCTTCAGACGTAAGGCTGAGTGAGGTATAACTGAGGGATGCAGATGGGCTCTAGGTTTCTCTTTGGAGCAGATTGGTGATATTCACTGAGATAGAAAACACACTTGGAGTAGCACATTTATAGAAAAAAGAGCAGAGATTTATTTTTACACAAACAAATATGTCTTTTAGAGATACAGATGTAGATATAGGTATAAAATGAAGCTATTCACTCTGTACTTTTTCTAAAAACTATGCATACTATTTCTTAGTATTGAAAGAACATCAGAGGATATTTGGGAAAGTGTAAAAATATGTCTGCCCAGTACTCATCCTGTTCCTACACAGCAGTGGGACTTGAGCACATATATTTTGTAAAAGTTCTTTAGAGGACTCAGATGTCAAACACTTGAAAATCATTGGAAATTAAAAGAGACAATGGAAAGTATGTGCACTTTGGAGTCAGACACATTTCAGTCGGTATATATTGATGTTATGGGATCTACACATTGGCTTTTGACACTCCATTCACACGCCTGTCAGACGGAGATAACAGTGCATGATGAGATTATGAAGGTGATTGTAGTGACCTATAAAAGTGATTCTTAACACGCAGTGTACTCAATATAGTCACGTGCCCCTTTCCTCCTCTCCTTTTGAGCAATTAACCAAGAAATATTACATTAAAACAGCTTTTGAAAAAATAATGTATTAAATGAAAATAATATAAAATATCATATGTGAGTTTTTTTGTTTTTAACTTATAAAAGGATGGCAAAAATCAATAAGTAGATTTAAAGAAGTAGTAGATAATAGTGGTAATTTTCAAATTTAGAGAGTAAGACCATGTCCTTTCTCAATCAATAAGATAATGTATGTGATCTGAGATTATTATGCTCCTTGCTATTATATTTCCTACATTTTATTCATTTTCTTTTCAGGTCAGAATAATATCCAGCAATTTCTAGTCTACCTTGATATTTTATGTACATAAATTATTCTTAGAAAATGTAATGAAAAGCATTGATATTAAAAAGCTCCAATTATTATAATCTTGGGTTACTTCCATGGAATAAATTTTCATTACAAGTTCAAAAAAGTTATTGTTTTTAATACACTTCTAGCCAATTTCATGTTAATGGTTATTTTTTAAAAATCTCAGTTCTCATCTCAGTGACTGTCATAAGGTGGAATTCTTAAAATAAGCCCTATACCAATTATAATTACGGCCTATTTATGACAATGTATTATAGTTTACTGTTTGTCTTTGTTTAGAATGAATGAATAATATTTAATTTAGCATATCAGGAGAAATAACTTCAAAATTATTTCAATAAAAATAATAGCAATTTCATCTAAAATGTATTCCAACCTGTCACATAAAATATCTTCACAAATATTTCCATGCAAACCCCAGAATACATTTTTGCTGGAAACTTCTACAGTAGCTTTATTTTACTTAAAAAAAAATCATTAAATACTTCATTACTTTTATGAAAAATTCTTTTAATGATTACAGATTTTAAAAATTTTAATATATAAATTATTTCTCTTTTTAAAATGCCATTTTCATTATTTCCATTTCTGTTGTACCACTTGTGGCTAAATTGGGAAATATAAGAATATTATTTATGATTTTCATGCAGATAGGTGTTTTAAATATATTAAAATTTGTATCTTTTTTATTTATTTATTGTTTCTTAAATTGTGTTTATCTTTTCAACAGATGGCTTCCTTGAATATTGGGAGAGCTGGTGCCTGTGTAGTAGTCATCAAGCAGCCTTGACTCATTTTTATTTTGAGAGATTTAACTTGCTGGAGTGATTATTTTTATATCAGAGGGCAAGAATAAGAACTTCCTGAGACGCAAACTCTTCAAGAACAAGGATTTCTACAGATTCACCTACTGATGTCAAAAAATGGTAGAAGATCAAACAGAATTATAGAAAACAAGACAACATCAAACTGCTATGGGAACAATATCTGGCCATGTATTAGTTCAGGAATGGTTACTGGTAATGTGTTTTGTATTGTAGCATACAATAACTAGAGTTACCAAAGGCTTGGTTTTCTTGAGCAAGTATTATATAATTTCTGGCAATATTCAAAAGGTTGCCCAGTATAGAAGATATGATATTTCCATCTGACAGAATCTTATTGGTTTACTCTTTCCCAATCAGATGTGGTCATACCAAGGGGCAGAATGATGTTTCATTAGAGCAAACATGTTTCTTCCTCAGTGTTCTAAGCTGCAAGGACAATTAGAGAAACAGATTCATACTTGTCTCATGCATTCAGAAGACAAACTGTCTTGCTAATCAAAGCTGCATATGTTTTCAGAGGTGATGGTTGAATTTTATCGCAGCCGTATCAGCAATCTGAAGCTGGCAGACACAAAGGATTGTTTTCATTAGGCTTATCACATTGCTTTCCTTTTTGAGCACACTGAGCCAAAGTATCAGTATAATTATGGGCTTTTGCCTTATGTTGAGTTCAATGTAAGCATGAAAGCTAGTTATTCTGAATGTTATATATATATATATCCATTGCATGTTGAAGTCCTTTAGAATTTTCTTTATTTAAAAAAAAACTTCAAATTTTGAGAGAGAAATCTATGATCCATTCATTTGAAGTGTTAATGACCATTGTTAGAATGAAGGCAGACTTCAGATTCTCATTCCCCACTTTTCAAACTTGTTACATTGATATGCACATTATTTTATGCCAAATGTTTGTAATTGTTTAAAGTAGAAACATTATAGACTGTCTTTAATAGATCCATGTAAATTTCAAATACAATTAATAAATGATAGAAAATTTGCCTTTATCGGTCTATCATTCTTCAATCAAGAGAGATAGGCAATTTTTATTTCTTGACTTTTCAAAATCCAAGAAGTACATATCTCCATCCAAACATAAGTGTGTTTTCTTTTCAATACTATGCTTACACGAATGCAGTCTTTTTTTATTTTAATCCTCACCTGAGGACATGTTATTATTGATTTTAGAAAGTGAGTAAGGGAGATGGAAAGAGAGGGAAAGAGAGAAACATTGATTTGTTGCTGACTGGGAATCGAACCCACAACCTTTCAGTGTACAGAAAAACACTCCAACTAACTGCACCACACCCGCCATAGCTACACAAATGTTCTTTAGCTTTTGTTTTCTTCTGCAGTCACTCACTTGATACGGTTAGTATTGATGCTTAGGAAACACATCCTATGATGAGACTGCTGTTAATTGTGCAGGGTCTAAAAGAGGCAAGAAAAATCCCTTTGTGAGCCAGGATAAACCATAAAATTGAGTTTTATTTTTGGGTGGTAAATTTTTTGAAATCTAATAATCAAAAAAATATATTGATTCATAATTTTTGTCTAGAAACTGTTAGTAAATCTGAAGTTTTCCAACATGTTCATGTGATCACATTTTTTAGTTACTTTTCTTTTTCAGAAAAATAATGTCATTATAAATATAAGATGCTAAGGAAGTAGCAATGATTTTTCAAAAATATATTTTTCATAAAAAAATAAAAAATGCCCTGGACAGGTAGCTCAGTTGGTTGGAGCATCATTCCATACACCAAAAAATGTTACTCGTTCTTCAATTCCTGATCAGGGCACATACCTAGGTTGTGGGTTCAATACCTAACCCAAGCACGTTTGAAAGGCAAACAATCCATATTTTTCTCTAATATTGATGTTTCTCTCTCTCTCTCCTTTCCTCTGTCTAAAATCAATAAACATATCCTTGGGCGAGGGTATATGTATATGTATATATAAATGCATAACATGAAAATTATCATCTTAATCATTTCTAAGTGTACAGTTTAGTAGTGTTTAGTATATTTAATTTCCTCTGCCTACATATTTTCTCTAATACACAGAACATACAAATAACATTAAGTAATTGAGGTATAAAACCTCAATTTTTGGTGAGTGGATACAAAAGTGGTGGATAGTCCTTATAGAACGGAGTACTATGTAGCCATAAAAAAGAAGGATCTCTTACCCTTTGAGACAGCATAAAGATACCTGGAGACTATTATGCTAAGAGAAATAAGCCAGTCAGAGAAATATAAGTACTACATGATCTCACTTATGTGTAGAATCTAATGAATAAAATAAACTGATGAACAAAATATATCCAGAGACATGGAAGTAAGGAACAGACTGAAAAACCTCAGAGGGCTTGGAGAGGGGAGGTTGGAAGGGATAAAGCAAAGAACTTATATGCATATAGGCATAACCAATGGACACAAACAGTAATGTGGTGAAGGTGAAGGAGTGGGAGTGGGAAGGAAGAGTCAATGGGGGAAAAGGGTGGGGGGATATTTCTAACACTTTCAACAAAAAAATAAAGATAAATTAAAGCAGTAGTTTGCAACCATCTAGTAAATCCTATCTCCTCTGAACCTAAGACACTTAAAACTAGGTGGTTTGCACTTCTCCTCCCCGACCAGAGGGTACATAGCTTAAATCACCCTACTCAAGGAGACAGATAGCAGAAATCCAGTTAGTCCCATTTGCCAAGCAAACCCAAGGACAGTGAATGAAGAGAATAAATCTTATTTTGGTTGATGAATATTCTAATGATTTTCCCCTAAAACATCCCCTAAATCCCAGCCTTTAAAACCTCTGGAAGCAAAGGTCCCAGTGTGCTCTCCTTCCCAGGAGCATGATTTGCCCCACCCCACCCCCACTCTTCTTCCCCTGATAGGCACACATCTCCTAAACTCTTGAAGGGACCCCACGAGGCTTGCAACCAGGCCAGCAGCAGTTCATCACAGACAAACCCCCTGAACCTGTCTCCAAGGCCCCTTTTCTCTGACTTCCCCTTGAGCCAAAGCAGCTCTGCCCAGGCTCTCCTGTTGCTTCTTCTATGCTCTTGCTTCACCATCCTAAGGGTGTTTTTGCTGTAACCAATAAACTCTTGCTTGCTTTTCTACACTTTGTCTCTTGATTGAAATCTTTCCTTCAAGAAGACAAGAACCAAGGGCCCCTTGTCTTGCTGGTAACAGTCATATTTTAAACTTGATTAATAAATTTGTCAACATTTTTACATATAAGTAATTTTCTTTTCCTGAAAGGAAATTTTCTCCAAACAATTTTGCTGCATTCAACCAACTACTTTTATGTGTAACTCATATTAGCCTACTACTGTTTATTTTGCATGCAATGAGTCTGCACCCAGTTTACCATATGAGGATATTGAAGCTGTTTGGACAATGAACTTCAAGCTTATATGAGATTGTGAGAACAGATATCATTGTACCATTTACTGAAAAGAAAATCACCCACCATGGTCACAAGTTAAAGGACTTATCACCTACTTTACCATGACTCCAATCCAGGGTTACTGAAACTTGTCTCTGTCATCTGCTAATTCAGCTACACTAAGGATTCCTCTTTGAGGTGAAATTTCTGCTAAAGACAGAAGATTTACTATTTGGCTTTTTAATTAATAGGGCATATCTAAACACAGGAAGTGTTTTAGTAGTTTTAAAGAGATTAAAATTGCAGTGCAAATTATAAGAGAAATGAGAATTAAAAGCAATGCCTTAGGCATCAAAAAGAGCAGAATTTGCCGCCTCAAAATACACTCCTTTGGCATAAGGATGTCTAGGTGAGAAATGTCCAAACTTGTAAAGAATTTTTATGGGTTTGTTTGAACCAAACTGAAGAATTGCTGGGAAGCAAAATCTCAATGGATTGAGAAAATACTCTGGAAATTGGCAGTTTTGCCATTTATTTTATACATTACAATCAAAGGAGGAGGCATAAAAGGAGTTAGATGAAATTCATTGGTGGTAGACTAGGGAGGCAGGAGAAAGCAAAGCAGGGGGAAATCTCTGGGACGGATGAAGAGTAAAATGAGACAGATTCTTCTTTTACATTGGCGGGTACAGCACAATGATCAATTAACACTTAGAGATGATATTTGGGCAACAAGATAACAATAAGGGATTCAATGGTTTCATGTTATGGTGGGAGGTTTTTCCTTGAGGAGACCCAGAAAAAAAGAATTACTCTGAAATCCCAAAGGTATGTTATCTTAGATGCAAAAAGGCAATAGACAGTTTCAGTTAAGGTAAAGATTGACCTCTGTTAAAGAAGATATCGGCCTAATGACATGACTACCTGCCATGACTAATTTCAGACCATCCTATGTGGTATTTAAGGTCTCTGATTTTATAAGATTTGACTTGCAGGCCTCCCCTGAGCTTGTCAGATTTATGTGGCCCCCTTTTTGCCCACAAGGATTATCTTGAATTGGTTATTTTTAAGGAAATAGCAGACACAGGAAAAGCTCTGAATACCTAGTAACAGTTACTCTTTGTAGGGGAATTTACAGTCATAAGAGAAACGTCCATCTCTCAGGGTGTCTTTCTCCCCACCCCCACCCCAGCCCCATAACCTCCCATAACTGACTTCCCCACGCACGGTGGTGGCTTGGGCCCTTTCAGAGAGTTACTCGGGTTTCCTGGATACATGTACACAAAAGTTCTACATGTTATTAAACTTCTGTTCATTTTTCTTCTGTTAATCTGTCTTTTATTACCAGGGAGTCTCAGCTAAGAACCCAGAAGGGTAGAGGTAAAATTACTTTTCCTCCCCTATAAGAAACTTTTATTAATTTGTTCCATACAGAAATTTTTAACAAAATTTTTCTTATAAATATTCCACTACATAATTACCCTACTAGGTAATTTCAAAAGGCCTGACATTGTATAATCATATGGAATATCATTGTCTCATATGTAAAATTAGTATTTTGTAATGATGTAAATGTTACATATTATTTTTGCTCTAAGTTTCTATAATTTGACTGTCACAATTCGATACTTCATATACATACAGATTTTAATTCAGAAGTGTATATAAATGTATGTATTGTATACATGAATATAATATTTTCAATTGATTACTTTTATATTAATCTTTGGCTTTGGTAATTGAAAATTTATTGACATTCAAATTTTTTACACACGAAAATAA